TTTCCTGATCAAACCAAGTGAAATATCTTGGATTAATACTTGACCATAAATTAACTTTTAAAGATCACATTGAGGGCATTAAAGCCAAATGTAACAAATATATAAAATGTTTGTATCCTCTTATTAACAGGAAATCCAAGCTTTGCCTGACGAATAAACTTCTAATATTTAAACAAGTTTTTAGACCGGCCATGCTTTACGCTGTGCCAATATGGTCTAGTTGTTGCACTACCAGGAAAAAAGCACTTCAAAGGATTCAGAACAAAATTCTGAAGATGATTTTGAAGTTGCCTCCCTGGTACAGTACTACCGAAGTACATAGAATTTCGAATGTTGAGACTTTAGCACAAATGTCCAACAAAATAATTAATAATTTCCGGCAAAAATCGTTACAATCCTCAATTGCAACGATTAATTCCCTTTATACTTAGATAAGATTTAGTTTTAGTTATTTAGTTTTAAGCTATCAATTGTTATACTGACATGCAGGTTTAAAAAACCTGTTTAAAATACTGAATTGCCAAGACAGGAACAATGTAAAAACACTTAGATATATATCATAACAATTAAGGCTGGTAAGTTACTGTAGTAACTGGAGCACCTAGGTTAAAAAAGAAATGTAATTTATTTTGAAGTTGGAACAAATAAAGAGTTAAAAAAAAAAAAAAAAAAAAAAAAAAAAAAAAAAAAAAAAAAAAAAAAAAAACGCCATCATGGGATATGGGAAACTTCCACCTACACGTTGATGGTGATGGTTTGTGTGGGCGGCCTTCGATTTGTGAGGAATGGGCTTTGGAACGGTTTGTTTACAAATGCTGATGATCTCTTTTCTATTTTTGATCCAGATTTTTGCTGAAGTCTTAAAGAGGAAAAAACGGGTTGAAAAATCGACCAAAAAGTTTAAGATCGCACCATTCCGTCAAATTTGCAGTTTGTTACCCGTTGTTAGGTCATTCCTCCTATAATTTATTTCACTTTAAAAGTCATCAATCGATTTTTAGGTACCAGGCTGTACGCAGTTTGACAATTTCAGGCGTACACTGCCTTACTCAAAACGTGACCACGGGCGCAATTTTATTTTTTTTCGCCTTGTACAAATTTTTTCATTGGCCCACAAGCTTACTTTTTGACCATTTCAATGAGAACCTCCTCTTAACAATATAACCATTGATCTTGAGATGTGATTTGAGTTGTCGGATTTTGGCCACTTTCTGGGCAGGAACATGATAGATTGTGGCTCATGTCAGATTTTGGCCACATCCAGAATGGTACCTGGAACACAGCGGCATGTTAACGTTAACTGGGGCCCAGGGCCAAACATATGTTGAGATCCATCGAATGCACCAAAGTCGATTTTAATAGTATTTGACCCTGTCCAACAATTCAACCAAACCAACTCTCCAACAATTAAAATCACGTCTTTCAGGTGATCAGAGTTATCCATAAATTCCTCTTGATTTTTTTAAGATATCAGAATGATTAGAAGATATTCAACTATCCGACCATTCAAATCTCTTCTCTCAAAAATTCCCTCATATCATTCCAGGTTTTCAACTGGTCAACAATTAAAATCACACTTCTGATAATCTCATATGGCACCATTATATTATAGTAAGGTATTCTGGAGATATCTTGCTATCCATCAATCCAAATCACATCTCTGATATTTTCTCGAATGATACCAGCTACGCAGCTGGTACGCAGCTGAAAATTAATGACGTTTCTACATGCTACGGGATAGGACACGGAATGCTAAAGAAATTACTTTTCTTTAGCATTTCTTGACCCATTACGCAGTTCAACAGAAATCGGTAAAGGAAAGATCGATTACATTAGTATCGTGATCGTCATGAAGGTGGTACATTCTGAAAGAAATTTCACTTTCCTTGCGGAATAATAGTCTGATCAATTATTCCGTTAGGTAATTTTAACGTTTGTTGTATACATGATGTTTTGAATGCATTTTAATGCCACAAAAACTAATAATTCTTGATTTTAAAATTTGACGACACAGTTTAGATTCGTTTTCCCTATATTTTATTCATTATACAAATGCAAATCATAACCAAATTTAATTTCATGTGATATATATTTTTCAGTATTCTAAAAGTAATAGCATTAATCTGGAAAAGATTGGATTGATCAGTACCGATCGAGGAAAAAATATAATAGTATTCTTTGGAACGATTGTTCAAAATGTAATACTAAAAACGTGAATTTCAGTAAAATTTTATAAAACTTCGTATATCTTAGTTGTTTGAATATATATGGCTTTTGTGTCCTCGGCAAGTTTTCATAAAATTTTACGTTCTACAACTTTGCCCAAGACAACAAACCTCTATCTTGTGAAATACAAAAGTTTGTATCGTTGCGCCATCTTTGCGGCCAAAATTTGAACTACTTATATCCACCAAATTGTAGACCTAATAATTTCAAGAAACTTCACTCAGGACATCAACTCAATTGGATGCAATCCCAGAGCGTTATATTTTTTTTTCGGCTAGATTCCTGGCATACTGAGCATTGATATTATTATTCCACTACCTTATTTGCTTATCCTTGACAGATACGCGTATTTTGTCTACAATGTGCAGACTTCTTCAGTGTCTTGTACTAATACTCGACTTATTAGTACAAGACACTGAAGAAGTCTGCACATTGTAGACGAAATAAGCGTATCTGTCAAGAATAAGCAAATAAGGTAGTGGAATTAAATGGAAATTACTAATCCATATCATAACGGACGAACATGAGGTGATTGAAAGGTGGAAGCAGCACTACGATGAACATCTGAACGGTGCAGAGGCCGAGGACCAAGGCGGCAGGAGGAATGGCTTCGTCGGTACAGCGGATGAGGGGGACATACCAGCTCCCACAATAGGTGAAGTTACGGATATTATCCGACAGCTTAAGAACAACAAAGCAGCTGGGAAAGATGGTATCGGAGCGGAACTTATCAAAATGGGCCCGAATAAGTTGGCCACTTGTCTGCACCGACTGATAGTCAGAATCTGGGATACAGAACAGCTACCGGAGGAGTGGAAAGAGGGAGTAATATGCCCAGTATATATATAAAAAAGGCGACAAACTAGAATGTGAGAACTATCGAGCGATCACTGTATCCAGAAAGTTGCGAAAGCTGGATGGGTACGATGGGCGGGATACGTTTTAAGAATGCCGGACAACGATACCGCAAAAATGGTTTTTGCCTCGAATCCGGCCGGTACAAGACGAAGAGGAGCACAGCGAGCAAGGTGGTTAGACCAAGTGGAGCAGGATCTTGGAAGTGTGGGACGGTCAAGAAATTGGAGACAAGCAGCCACGTACCGAGTGAATTGGCGTAACATTGTGATGCAGGTGCAATCTTGAGGGATGTCGGACCAGGATAAGTAAGTATGTTCTGTCAATAGATCTGTTCCCAAACTTGCTATGTTTGCATTTGCTGTAAGTTGCTGTAGGAATATAATATGGTGCAGAAAATACGGGAACATACTTTTGCTTTTTGCAGTACTGAATCTTACAAAAAAGCAAGTTCGGTAACAGACCGAATAACATTTGAAATAGACGACGGTTATGTTCGCTGGCCTTCATTATATTGATTGTCTTATCAAAAATTTACATGACTTCAGGGATGTTTAGTGATTTAGCTCTATTTAGTTTTATTCTCTTAGCCTGAAGTAACCTGTAATTATGGTGCTTCCGCTGGTGCTATTTCATAATTTGATGGCGCAATTAATTGTTGACACATTATGGCCTTGTCTGGATTTTCATAAAAACGAAATCACCTTTGAATTGAAATTCATCAGCTGGATGGAATAGTCCGCGGACCAGGTACCAGCACTTTTTTTTTCAAAGTAATCGCGAGCCCTACAAGACCGTGGGCTGTATTAGCCCCCGGGCCGTACGTTGGTCTGACTTAGCTGAACAACAACACTGAAGCTATGTGACATTTTGTTTTCCTTTTTTTTTCCTTTGTCAATATCAACATTTTCCATAACAGAATATAGGCAAGAGATCCAACGATTTTGTACATTATCGTTTATTTTCCGTTGACCTCTGATTCACAATCGAGTGTCCATCACGGGCACTAAGGAGGTGATTCCAAAACCTGGACCTTACATATCGAACCCATAGGCGATGCTTCCCTTCCGAAGGTGACCAGAGATTTTACGCCCCATAATATTTCAACGACCTCAATTTGGCTTGCCACTCAACTACCAGTGCCGACAAGTTCCAACGATTTGGGCCATCATAATGCAGATAATGTTAGTTTCACTATTAATCTAATTTTCTGTTATCAACCATTCCTAATTACCCGGATTATGTATTTGTTGTTTATGATTCTTAGCACTTGTCAGTTCTAGCTTTTCTATAGAATTCAAATGTCACTTGAAGATAGTGCTTCGATCTTTCCCTCCTAATCAATGATGGAATGCATGCTGCAATGCCACAGCCTCTCAGAGTGATCAACGCTTCACTTTTGAAGTCATTCAATTGCTCAATGTCTAATGGTTTTCAACCATCACACGAAAAGTCCTACAACGCAAAACCGGCATGGTGATATTGCGTCTCCAAAACATGCTGCGACTCCAACGGAAAACCCTGGCATCGCTGCTAGTAGCTGCTTATCTAGTTAATATCAGTTTGACCATTAGTGATCGTACATGCAGGGCAAGTCGCGTTGGGTGGCAGATACCTACTGTTAATGCCGTGAGAACTCCCAATTTCCCCGAGCATTATCACCGGCGGTGCTCTATGCTCGTTTTAGATTTCCACTCTTCCGCCGCCAGTACGCTCTTTTCTCGCACGCTCGCTCTTTCTCTCTGAATATCTTTGAGCGAAACCCCCCCATCTCGCAATGAGCACGCGTCTCCACAAGTGCTAGGCAGGGTAGACTTATACACTTGTGTGGTATTATCACCAACTCAGCATACGACCGAACCCGTTTTTTAGATTATAGGGAAAAATCTCTGGGAAGACGCACTCAGTTCGCGTTAGAATTTCGTACCATGAACAACCAAATTGTACTGATGAGTAGTTTTCATTCATGTCGTATTGACTACGACGACAACAGCAGAGACTAGGACTCACTCCCAAGTTTATAAGGTGAAAAATCGCGCGCGATTTGTGCATTCTTTTTCGGTTTAAATCTTTGTTTAAGTTTATGTTTAGTAGGGAAAGTGGCAAAAAAGTTTTGCTTTCTGTGATTTTGGTAAACACTAAACTGGAAGAAAGTGATAAGCGTTTGACTCTGTTTGGAGAAAAGGTAACCTGCACTACGGAGAAGGGCGGTGCTGTGCATGTCCCTGACGACGACCACGACGACGACGATGATGACGACGTCGTGTAGGAGTGGTGAATCGCAGTGAAAAGTGGCAGTGTATAGTCAGGTTTGACACATAAATATATGTATGTACTCTTTAGAGCACGGAGAGACACAACCGAAACAACAAATCTCGGCTGGTCGTGAAGAAAACATAATGTTTGTTTGTTAGTTTCCGTTGATTTTTTGTACGTATCGTAGTTTATCGAGTGAGTTGAGTTACTTGTTCATTGTTGAAGGGAAATTTGGAATTGTTAAAAATAAATATTTCGATTTCGAAGGAAGAGTGTAGTCTAGCAAAGAAAGCTATTTCGAAATATCCAAAGTGAAGATTGGTTGGTACATACTAGCTTCTGCTTCTGTGTGACGTCCTACTAGATGGATTAGGAAAATTTCAACCGAGAGGAAAGTTTCCTTGGTGAATGAGAAAAGTTTAAACGGAAAAAGTGGAAGCAACTCATGACAAAAGAAAAGTGAAAATTTGATGTAATACACTCGGTTTTCCATTTTTTTTTGTTTCACTGCTTTCGTATGTTTGAGCAGTGAAGTGGTGGGCAATCGTTTACGCGACGTGCTAGTGTGTTGGTGTGTACGTGCTGTTGGGTCGGAAAAGTTGGAAAAAGGATCATCAAAAGGAGCCGCTACGATTCGACATCGACACGCGCCCGTGTCTGTAGACGTGTGCCAAGTGTGCGACTCTCTCTTTCTCTGTGTGTGTTGGTGAATCGAATTTTCCGCGTTTGTCCTTTGTCGCCACTGCTCCATTTATCGTTCTCCTGTGTATGTGATGGTGAAAAATTGTAATTCAATGACAGTCCCCCTCTAGTACATAACAACGTCTCGGAAGGAGCGAGTCGTAAAAAACTACACTTGAAACGCACATCGAAACCCACCAGGATATTATCAAGTAGCCTTCGCCCAACTGTCGCCGTCATTAGCCACCGATCATCGCCTGCTACGTTGAAAATCGCGCATTGACAGCTGAGCAAACCTTGCCCTGCCCTAACCCCTTCTTTTTACTCCATATCCTGTGTAAGGTTTCGCGAGTAATTTCGCGCCTTTGCTTGTGTATGAGTTTGAACTGCGAGAGACAGACAGCGAGAGAAGGCTAAACGATCGCGTGCCACCATAGCGACGACAACAACAACGACGTCGTCTCATCTGTAACAGGTACGTTGACTGTCAACACACTAAACATGCCATCATTTGTATGCTTTATTTTCTCGAAAGTCACTCCACTATACTTAAGGTTGTATAATAACAGCGCTTGGCTCATTGCTCCTCGTTGCCGATTCGTGTGTTTATTGATTTTGTATTATGTTATGGCTTTCCATGCCTACTGACCAGCTATCCCTCTCTATGAACGCCTATTTATCTTAATGCACATATCCAATTTGTTTAGTTATCAATGGCTCTGAGGCCCATGGCTATTGTGCCCATTAGGACGTAGGTTTGCATATACTATGTACATACCTACCTACAGCGCATAAATAACAAAGTGTCAGTCAGTTTGCTATCACTTCAACTGAACTCTACAACCACCGCCATCGCCACCAACCACAACACATGCATGCTGATGGGCGATACGCCGATGGGATAGGATGGGATGACGGCGGCATTCTGATGGAAAGGAGCGCATTAGGCAAATTACTGATAATTACATTTAGTTTTAGCACTGCCTCTAGTAGGAGTTCCGTGATGCCATTCCTGGTTGGCTGGATGGGTAGAGCGAGCGACAAGCTGAGAGCATTGTGGTGTTTGTTTTTAATTCATTCGCGCTGCTTTGGCTCCGTATGTAGGTCAAGTAGATGATTGATTCGATTATGATTTGTTTATGGTCTTTGCTTCGGAGGAATCCTGCTAGTCCTGGGATTCAAGTATTTCTTGGTACACGGATTAAACCAAATCAAATGTAAGTTTCGTTCACTAAAATTCGCGAAAACGTAGGTTACTCCTAGAGTCCAGGACCTAGATTGAGTAAAATTTTCGTCGATTTTCCTCATATTAGAGCACACGGCGAATGAGAACGACCCAAATTTGAGTTTAGTTCACTCATAATCGCCAAAAGTGCAGGAACTCAGCGATGAGGAGTAAATTTTCCTCGGTGGAAAACCTCAAAAATCTGACGGAAAAAGAGAAAAATGAGCGAAAATTTTACTCAGTCTAGGAGTAGTACCAATGGACTGAGTGAATCAAATCTTTACTTTTCTCATATTCGGGAAGTTTTTCCTGGACAAACATGGAAAAACATGAGGCAAATTTACTCATCGCTGAGTTCCTGCACTTTATGTGATTCATGAGCTACCTAAACTCAAATTTAGGTCGTTCTCATGCAGATGCCATGCCGTGCAGATTTTAGAGGAAAAGCGAGGAAACCTTTATTCGGTCTGAGTAACCTGCGTTTTAGCGATGTTGAGTGAAAACCCACTAATTTTGAGTCGATCTCATCGGCCGTGCAGCATCGCAATTTGATAATGTAAAACAGATAGAGACGGAGTTCCACCTTGAATGTAGGACGTTTGGACAGATGTTCACTTCAGTCCTAAACAATGTCATCAAAGAATGATTTTTAGAAAATCGTATGAGCTTTCATATTGCGCATTTTGCACCAAAGTGGACTCCTGCACTGAAAATAATCCCTCAGATTTTTCGCTCTGGCCAGGAAAAAGAAATTAATAGTATTGAATATGATTAAGCACTGAATATCATATCTTCGTACTACCGCTAAAAGCACTTTGATAATAATTTAATTTTTTTCCGACCTGAGCGAAATATTGAGGGGTTATTTTCAGCGCAGGAGTCTACTTTGGTGCAAAACTTACGTTACTTACTTATGTATCCTGCACACTCCTAGTGGTGCCATCAGATCAGGCCCAGGTTAGATTTCTGTCGATTTCCTTTATTTCCTTGCGCTACCGCCATGAGCCCTTGGGTCTGCCTCGGTTGTGATGTCCTGCCGAGTTCCAATCCAGCGCTTGCTTGCATTTTTCACGAAAAAATCAAAACGAATGTTCAGCTAGAACTTCGTACAATTTTGTACACAGTTACTTTTGGACGTTTTTGACTTTTGTTCATAAAACAGTAATTTTGTAGGTAAATTTTCGAATGAAAATCGAGAAACATGTAATTTGTTCTGGGCTTAAATAAAAACAACATCAAGTTCAACCGATTGTCCCATGTTGAAATCCTACGCATAACTGACCCACAAAGATTTTCTTTACTTAATCTATCATTAACGAATCGATTTGAGTCAACGAATGATTGAAACAGGATTTATATGATCAAAAGAAACGGTATGAGCCATTTTGGGAAGTAGATGTTTTATTTTATGTTGAAAAATATTAAGAGAAACGGGAATAAATAACAAAAAACCAGGTCAGAGATCTAGTTTCAAACAATGCACAGTGGTACAGAATGCAGATTTAGGTGGAATGATATGTTTTGAGTCTGAAATTGAAAGTTTAGACTAAAAGTCTCTTCTACAAAGTTGTTCCTTATAGTTAGGCCCTCATTTTTATGACAATGAATTCTAGGGTGGTTCCTATTATCATTAAAATCAAAAATCTAACTTTTTTGTTTGAATAAATTAAGGTATACATTCTTGGGCAAAGTTATAGCTGAGCTAATTTCAAGCAACTTTGTTGAAAATAACTTTTTTGTATCTCTTAAATTGGCTGATTTAGAGCTATTTTCTTGAATTAAGTTAGGGTGGCTCTTAAAAAAACAGTTTTTTTGCTCTATTTTTCTTATTTCGAATTTTTCAGCAAAGGTGTCTTCAGATAACTTTTAGATCTTAAGAAGGCACAAACGTCAGGATGGTCTTCAAATTAGGGAATTTTTAAAACTAACTTTTTTGTTTTACAAAATATAAACATGTGTTGTTCAAAAAAGTTGTAGTTAAGTTACTTGCAAGCAACTTTGTCGAAGAAAATTTTTTTCTATCTCTTAACGTTCTCATTTTATAGTAATTTTTCGGAGTTGACTTAGGGTGTTCCTGGAAAAAATAGTTTTGTAGCAATAACTTTTTTATTTGAAATTTATCATGAAAGTCATCTTCTAGAGACTTTTAAAACTCTTTAAGGCGAATGTTTTATAGCTGGATTTGTTGCCTGTATCTCTTCTAATAAAAAAGATATACTCAAATATAGTAAAAAATATGAATAAATTCAAATTGATTTTATACGAGTTTAAAAAATAACATACCTCCAATTTTTTCATAATATTGAGAATAACATACGCCCTTTCAAATGCTGCAAAAAAACTTTTTTTTTGTTTGCCCCAACCAGAGATATTAACATTTGAAAACTGCATATTTTTAGTATAAAAACTTCAATAACTCTTGATCGGCGAAAGGTATTGACAAGCTTTGTGCAGCAAAAAATTGCGCCTTCTTAAGATCTAAATGTTATCTCAAGACGCTTTTGCTGAGAAATTCGAAATAAGAAAACGAGAGCAAAAAAACTGTTTTTTTAAGAGCCACCCTAACTCAATTCAAGAAAATAGCTCTAAATCGGCCAATTTAAGAGATACAAAAAAGTTATTTTCAACAAAGTTGCTTGAAATCAGCTTAGCTATAACTTTGCCGAAAAATGTATACCTTAATTTATTCAAACAAAAAAGTTAGATTTTTGATTTTAATGATAATAGGAACCACCCTAGAATTCATTGTCATAAAAATGAGGGCCTAACTATAAGGAACAACTTTGTAGAAGAGATTTTTAGTCTAAAGTTTCAATTTCAGGCTCAAAACATATCATTCCACCTAAATCTGCATTCTGGACCACTGTGCAATGCATTATTAGACACTTACGTAGAAATATGCCACCCCACACTCCCCCTATCATGTCTACGTGTTTTAAGAAAAGCCTCTAAAATAATGTATCAATAAGTAGCATAAAGGTCAACTCCGTACGTTAGAAATTCTTACTATACATATTAATTCTTTCAACGTATTTCTTGAAATCCTCGAAGTCCACGATCGACGATCGTGTAACGTATTGATCTTATGTCCACAGCATGTCAGCCACCATAAATCTAATCTCCTTTAGGCCTACATTCATATTGCTAAAGAGTAGAACAAGATGCTTAGACGTTTTTGTTCTACACAGACCATTCGTCGTTAGTTGCTCGAAATGCCCATACATTTAATGACTTTATAGAACTAGCAAACGACGATTACAGCAATGTCAACACACTGATTATTGGTATCATTTAATGATGCGAACCTATGTAAACTATTCAGAAACTTCCAAAACTTCGCGGAGGACGCATGCACGAGTAAAGACATCAAACGCAACGTGGCCATCAAAGCAACACGGAAAGTAACAGTTCCTAGTGGGACTGATATGCGTAGAGTTTCCTGCTCCATAGCAAATTTCTTGGCATAACAGTCCCACTAAATATTGTTCGTATAAAAAGAGGTTTAACTCTTTTCATTGAAGGTAATTTTTGTAGTTTTCACTAAAACATATTGATTCTGTTGAAATGAGCAGAAGCCGGCGCCGGTGGTGTAGTGGAAAGCGTGACTGCTTTCTAATACCCCAATGGGTCTGGGTTCAATCCCAGCCGAGGTCGGTGGGATTTTTCTGAGGCAAAAAAATCTCTGGTCACGTCTTCCTTCGGAAGGGAAGTAAAGCCGTTGGTTCCGGCCCATTTGTTGTTGAATGGGTGCGATATCCTACGCAGGTGTGGAAGCCTTCCTGCACATTCGATTGCTGTCAATGGATGGCAATCGATGTCCGTCGGTGATTGGCACTAGATTGCGGAACAGAGACCGACGTTAAATAAAGGACAGGAAATGAGCAGAAATAATTCGAAACATCATTCGCAATTTTCTCAGATGCAACTTTTATAACATGGGACAGATATACGTAGAACGGCAGTACATTTCATACAATACACTCGGGTGTATCAATGTTCACAATAATATTCGCAGATGTTTGTGCACGGGTAAATTGAACACGGGTTTGGGACCATTTGGGATAATAACGTGTGGAATAATGTTATAAATTTGTAATCGATAGTTCAACGTTCCATGCACCGATTTTTTAACCATCACGAGAAAAAATAAATAAATAAAATTACATAAAAACACGGCAGGTCGGGATTTGTACCATCAATCTTGTGACCATCAGGCGTGCGTGTTGCACACTCGTCTAATGCGCGGGTAA